ATGTTGAATCAGCGGAGAACAACATAGCCGCAAAAGAATGTATAGCGCGCAGCGTTGCTCTCGTACTCTCCAACTCTTGCATCTTGTCATCACACTTCTCAACTCACAGTGTTACCCGTGACACTGATAACACTGGTAATGCATGGTCAAAGCCAAATGTTATTAGTGTTACCGCTTTTATAGCTGTTGAGTAGCGGAGTGATTTATATATCACCAATCATTTCACTACTTAACGGCTATATAAGCGGTAACACTGGTAACACTAGTAGCGCGAGTAACACTGGTAACACCAGTAACACAAGAACACTAGTAACAGAGGTAACATGGGTAACGCTGCTAACACTGGTAACACGAGTAGCACGAGCTTACACGAGTACACTAGTAACACGGGCAACACTAGAACGTATGGTCAAAGCCCTAGGTATCGCTACTTCTCGATCTCAACCCTTCTCGATCCGGCAATGCTACGATGGCTCATTCTCTATGCGCACTAGGTAAGCGATATTCGACATGCTTGCATCAACTTATAAATTGTGCGTATAATCGAAACTCAGGTTGAGCTTGAATTTGTCTTATTGTTAACTATTACCCTTTCGAATCATCAGGCTTTCAGTGCCAATTTGTGTGCGATTCAACATCTTTTGGACATTTTTATTTGTTTTTCGAGTAGATATGAAACCATGTCTATATAGCTCATAAACTAGTAATAATACATTTCTTTACGCCGTTTCACCAACAAGAAGTGGTAACCAGACGAAGATGTCGACGAACTGCACAACTGTCAATGCCATTAATAGAAAACTCAACACTAGCAGCACTAATGTGACAATGTGACAGACTTTCAGCATAGTCTGTAATGAATAATTTTTTGATTTTCAAACTAGGCTTACAATGTTTAAAAAATCCTTACAGGCTCCTTGTATGGTTTGATGTCCAGCGTAAAATGCTTCTCTCCTAGCTTTTTGTCTTTCTCAAATTTATCTATTGATTTTGACAATTTCTCTACAAAAAAACTGGTCGAGTCTGTGTGCGTTTGAATGCTGAGAAGCGCTTAGGAAAACCCACCATCACTAGATGCCGCTCCTCCTGTCCGATCATGGTCAGAACTGAGATCAACATCATCGCCTGGCCTAAATGCTTTGTATTTGAGAAATATCAAGCGAGCAATATTCATAACTACCTCAGAGCAAAGCGATCCAAAGTTTTTGTCCTTGATTTCAACCCATTTCTCTTCATCTCAGCTTGTGGAGGTGGTAGCGGCGGTAATCGAAAGTCCGGAGGTGGTGGCGGCTGTGATGGAAAGTTTGGCGGAGGCGGCGGAGGCGCCGACCCGCTAGGCCCTATCGGCTCATAGCTATCCTCGTCTTTGGACGTTTGTGAAGCCATCACTGCTTGCTTGAACAACTCTATGCAAATGGACTCCACTAAGGTGGAGGTTTCAAAAGTCAAATTATTTGCGCACTTGTTTACGACGTGTGAAAGTGAAAATTCAAT